AAAAAAAAAAAAAAAAAAAAAAAGAAAAAAAGAAGGATTTTCCTTTCCCAACAACCACCATGAAGTGAGCCCAGAAAGAGATGCCCACATTCCCCTCATGTGAGGCCCCCCACTCCTCACCTGACTCACTATCCAGGTTTTTGGTATTTTTGAAAGTCACCCCTGGAGCCCCAGCAGGGACAAGCAACCAAGAGCCATTTCCTGCCTCAAAAATCAACTCTGCAAAGACTAGCACCAGCCACAAGGCTCAGCCATAGCTCCAACAGGCCCGGCAGAGCCATCGAGTTTGTGTATTCCTCACAGAAAGCTTTTTCCCAAAGGTCATTTCTGGGAATGTTGTTCTCCAAATACTTTGGCTGGTCCTAATCTACAGGACAGCATTAGAGTGTGTTTGCAACTCTGTCTCCAGGAAATACATGTAAAGCTGATTCATTATCTTAAAATGCTGCTTTCATTTCTGCTCATTAAAAGCACATTTCAGATCCCTGCACCAAATGCTGATGTGATCTGGACACTCAAACAGAAGGTTTCAGTTCTCTCTACTCTTCTTTTTTCATGCGCTGCCCACAACCTGTGTTCTCTATTTCAGCGACAGCTGTGTCAGACCTGAGCTACCACTGGAAAACACCCTGGATAAAATCCTGCCTTTCCCTGCGATGCCTGGCACTCCAGGAAATCAGCCTGGATGTCACACTCAGCCTAGATTCCAGGCGCTGCATCCCAGAGCAGCAGCATCCTCCCTGCAGAGCAATAAACAGCTGCTGTTTGTGCACATCCCACACCCTGCTCACCGAGCCACTCGCAAGGGAAGGGAAAGAAAAGCAAGAAGGGAGCTTAGGTAATGCACGCGTTCCAGTCCTCACCTTTAGGGAGTCAAAGCAGGCAATAACTCGACCATTTTCCACATGGCAACTCCGTGACGGATGGGCGAACTTGCACTCTGCATCAGACCGAGAACAAGTCCCTCTCTGAAACTCTCGACACACTTCTAACGTCAGCCATTTTGTATCACGAACCAGGGAAACGTTTACAGCCATATTAAAAAAAACAAAAATTAAAATGCGAGCAATCGCACCCTTCCTCAGGGTAATGTTTACTGCTGATCTTCTTTTTTTYYTYYTTTTTTTTTAAAAAAAGGGTAAAAAAGTGAATTCAAGTTAAACGTGAAGAAATAACTAACTTGTTGCTTTGGTAGAACTCCTATTCATCAGCACTTAGGTTTTCATTTAAGTCAAATCGTGTTTCTTTAAACAAGAATTAAACATAAAGCCAATCATAAAATAGAAATCTTATCAGAACAACTGAAAATCAAATTAGAGGCCAGCTCCTAAAAGTGCAATTGTAGAAGTTAAAATACAAGTGTTATATTTTGTGCCACTGCCAAAGTTACTTGCAAATAACTGGCAGACTTTCAAAAGAATTCTGTGCTCTCCAGTTAATGGTTTCAATTATTCTTGCAAAAAGCATATGCTGCTGGCAGCACTTCAGTTTGTGGAATGGTCTCGGTCCTTGGGGAGAAAACTTCGGGTTTGTTTTTTTTCCTTCTATTTCTTGCGTCTAAAAATGATGGTTCACGAGCATCAAAACAGGCAAAAGGATGTCTGATTTTTTTTTTTCCTCTTTCTTTTCTTTTAAATATTTGCTACATAGTCGGGGGAAGGAAAAAAAAATAAAATGGCTGAGCAAACTGCGTGTAAATGGGGAGCAAAAAAAAAAAAAAAAAAAAAAAAATGGCAAGGCTGGAGGAGCCGCCGTCAGGGCACGGACCGCAAGCAACGCCGAATTAAACAGAGAGGGGGGCGAGGGGCAGAGAGAGGCAGCCCTAGACAGAAATCCAAGCAGCGGTGGCTTCAGGAAAGGCACTTTTCAGCAACCTGCAGGAAAAAGAGAAATAGAATCAGCCAGGAGCCGTGGGCCCCGCTCGGGCGGGCGCGGGGCGGCGCCGGCGGCCATTGCGGGCAYGGGGGCACTGCCCGCGCCGCGCTGCGCATGGGAGGCGGCGCCGGCCAATGGCGCTCGCCGTTACAGCGGCACCCGCTGGCAATCAACCAATACGAGAGGCCGTTTCATAGCGGGCGAGGGGTGGCCGCCGCTCGCCGCAGCCCCGGGACCCCGCGGGACCCCCGGAGCCGTGAGGGGACGGGACCGCACAGCCCAACCTCGGGCCAGCGCCGGGGCTGCACCCCGCGCCCTCACACGCTACGGGGGAATAGTTTGCTCTTTAGTATTATAAATTTCTATCAACATAAACTAGCCCACCCCYCCTTCTGTAGGAAACGTTCGGGCGGGAAGAGCAGCCGGTGGYTTTCTTATAGACAAGGCTGCAGCTCAGCCCCACAGCCCTCCGCACCTCAAGGTGTGCCATTAAACCATCCCCGGCCAGGGCTGCTCCGGCGATGGCACATGAAGACAAACGACTGCTTCACAGCCGCCCCTCTATGGATTCAGAGCCTACAAAACTTAAGAGCAAACCCGGCGGGGAAACCTAAGCCACACACACACACACGGAAAAAATTAACTCATTGCTCACAGCTGTAGTTTTCCACCAGACCAAAGGCAACTCGAATTACTCTGACTCCAGCAACTCGTGTTATACAACAAACAACTTTCAATGCATTCCAGTTGAAGGCTTCCTTGGCATCCACTAAAATGTTAAGCTSTCCCTAGAGTCTCCCATTCTAATATTAGCTGTACCATTGCCGCCTGATAGGATTGGGCTGTTTCCAAGTTCCCCAAATCCAGCCCTTTCTCTTCCTAAAGTACGACCGTCCACTTTTGCAAACATTTGACAGGCGCGGGATGTTGCTCGTGTGACTGTTATTAAGATTTCAAGCCTTCGTAGGAGAGGAGCCTTCAACTACAAAAAAARGAAGCTTAAATTCCTCTTTTATTATTGGTGTGTTATTGCAATTAYACTGATCAGTAACTGAAACCTACTGGAGCTGGAAACAATGGAAACAATGCTACCAAGGAAGAAGTGTGGGAAGAGGCTGTCATCAGCAGCAGGGGGTGGGGCACAGAGGTTGTTTGATTCACAGATCGAATTATTTCAATTTAGAAAAAACAACATTCGTTAAACCTACACTGTAAGTACCTTCTAGGTTTAATTAGACTCAAGTTGATCACAAAACCTGCCCAGATCCCTGCAATCCAGCTTGAGGCATCAGCACAAAGATTGGTCTGACCCACGCTTTCTGGAAGGACCTCTGCATTTTTGCACATCAGGTGKGGAACAGAGACTGCAGATGTCGTATTTGCTAAGCGTGTTTTAAACTTCAAAAAGAAGGGAAAAAGGCACATCTAACCACGCTMATGTCTTTTGGGTTTTGTAAGGAAGAGATGCTCTAAATCAATTCCAGTTTTGYAAACGGGGCAAATTTATACAGGAATCCCATTCACTGATATGTGGGTTCCCCATTCAAATGAGCTCAGCAAGCAAAAGAAAGAAAAAGATGGGCAGAAACCTTCTGGAGGGAGCTAAGGACTAGCTGGGTGCAGCTCTTAAAAACGAGCTAGAACAGGTCAGATATGGGTGGGGAYTAGAAAGAATGCACTCTCAGAAGCTCTTCAGAGCAGACTGAAATACAACCATCTTGTGGATTAAGTGCCTATTCCACAGCTTCAGACTCCCAAGGGAAGTGAGGGTCTCTTAATGCTGGGGATAGAATATGATGGGTCTGACTTAACACACAGTTACACCAAAATACCCRAACAGCGTAGTAAAATCAGCCCTTCTACCCTGAGAAATCCCAGTGTAACAAAACAAATGTTGATCTTGCTCTCAAGCCGTGCAACTCAGGAGCAAGCACTGCCCACAGGTACATGGCTGCACTAAACTGCTCAGTCCTCAAAATGAAGGGCATCGTGTTAATGGAAGCTAAATCAAAGGAATCCTACCAAACATTAAACTACAAATCCAAAAACATTCAGACACATGTAAAGAAAAATATCCACCATGTTACAACTCATGGAGGAGGAAACAAACCCACWGATGGAAACCGCCCCTACCCCACACCCTGCAGAAGGGCACACTTGTCTGTTCAAGAGACACAATACATTTTCAGTGCTATGGAAACAACCCACCTCCCTGCAGAAGGGCAGACTCATCTCAGACCCTGGGACTAGAGCTCCTGTACTGGAGGGAGCCAAATTAATGAATACATTTTTCATACCGCCATTCCGCAGCCTGCGAGCCAGCCGGGAGAGCRCAGCAGCAGCACACACTGCCCCATCACTTGTTTGCTGGCCACTCAGGAGAGCAGTTAAGCACACGCTTAACTCTGAGCATGCCAACAGTCTTTCTGGAAAGAAAATCTGAAGCATGTACTTAAGTGCTTTGCTGAATCAGRGCCTAAATAAATGAATCTGCTTCACAGGTTTATCAGGACTGGGAGGCCAGCAAGCGCAGGCAGCAGTCATCGTGCTTCGGCTTACGTGATCGCAGCCCAGAGAAGCACGAGTTAGGCTTTTCTGCAAGTCAACAAATACAGTTCTGTCAGTGTTTGGATTGCTGCAAATCCCTCTCCATGTGGTCACGGGGAAGGCTGGAAACGCGTGCATGCAGGGCTGACATCACAGCGAGTGCTGCTGCAGCGAGGCTCCCACGCACAGCCCAAGGACAGCACACCTCAAACACAAACCCGCTGCTGACAACACCGAGCTTCGGCTCTCCAGGCTTCAACTCCTGGCAGCAAACAACTGTTCTCACCAGAATGCACCCTTACAATTTCCTTGTATTACCCTTTTTGGGGGGGAAGGTGTGGGGCAGCTGGCATTTTATTCCCTTTGTTTTCCCTGTATATTTCAAATTAAAAAAAAAAAAAAAATCCATGCCAAAACCAACATACAACCTAAAAGGATTAAAAAGTAGCTCCAGAAATCAGGGGCTTCGTTAGTGTGCAGGAAATACAACAAAGGGTAGGTGCTGCCTTTTGAACCCTTCCCAGCAAGCCAGATCCGTCTGGCAGAGCTCAGCTCTTCCACYACCAGATGAACCAATCTCATTTCAACGGCATCGGCATCAAAGCTGGAGAAAGCAGCAGAGCAGAGAGAAAAGCCTGTGGCCTTTATCCCTGTAAAGAAACTACAATATCCCTGAAGCCTCTGCTCCAGGGCCACTTGCTGGGCCRGGCTCTAATTGCCTGAGCTGCAGGAGGACAGGGCTTGCTCCAGATGTCAGAGCTGGCCTTACAGCTACCCAAGTGCAGGGGAWCAAGGGCAGTGCGAGGAGCAAAGGTCACACCAGGGCTTGCCTCTGGCGGGACTAAGATACCCTCACTGCTTGAGGTAACATGAGGACGAATGTACTCACTTGACGCTTGAATTCCTCCTGCTTGCCACGAAACTGATCCCCTTCCACTGACAGCCCCCATGGATGTCAACTTGTGAGGACACTTCCTGACAGCCGAGTTCAGAAATGGTAATTTATGTGACAGGATGGATTCGAGCAGCTCCCAAGTGTAAATGATGCTATTTAAAAGAGATTTCTTTTTTTTTTTCTTTATTTTTTCCTAAGGAAAAAATGACTCAGTAGAAGTGCCAAGGTGGGTTCCTTATTTACTGTTTCTCAAGGATTTCTGGGTCATGACTGCTCAGTTGAGAAAGAGAAGTGTTGTTGCCCTAACTCACAGCCCAGTGAGTGAGAGCAGCAGCTATTSCCTTCACATGAAGAGGAATAGGGAYAACTACAGACAGGCTGGACTTTTCCCAAGGTTAAGTTCCAGCTGTGTCCATTCTTCATCATATGCGATGCTGTTCATGCTCCTCTTCCACTGAAACCAGCAGCACGTGACAGTGGAACTGAGGACCTGCTTTCCTGAGTCCAAGCTCAGCCCTACACCAACAGGCTGCAGTGTGATTTACCCAGCTTTGCAAGCTGTGGTCAGAGAAAGCCCAGACCCAGTCTGGATGGATGGAGGGAGGGAGGGAGGGAGGGAGGGATGGATGGATGGATACCCTAGAGGCACAGCAACAGAGAAATCGTGCTTGCAAAATTAAACCCTCAAATTTTACACCAATTCCACTAAAACTAAACRTCACTATTAATGTTCACCAAGTGTCTAGATACTGTCAGAACCCAAAGAAGACTTTTGTCTATGGGCTTTCTTCAAAGCAGTACTTCAGCTGGCAGCACAAATGATACACTCACTCATCAGTTCTTGCACTTTTGACACGATTCTATAACTTGGGCTTTTCACTGCACCCTAATGAGTGTGGAAGAACTTGGTGTGCCCACCACCACATCCTTGATAAGCCAGAATAGGGAACTCCTCACTCAAACAACAGTGAGATGTTCCCATTATCAAACAATCTTCCACATAAACACAGTGTTCCTGGAAACACTGCAAGGCAAAGAGAAATGGGAGCAATGAAAATAGCCATTGAACTGTTTTGTTCTGAATGAGAAAGAAAACTGTGGAGAATACCACCACCTATCCAACAGCATTTTCACATTCCTATGGAAAACCAAGTGTTCCCCAGTCCTTCCTCTCTCTTCCATTTTCACAGCAAATAGTAAAGAACACATGAAACGATATCCTTCCTTATCAAAGGAATCAAAAAGCTTTTGTCAAAGGCAAGATTTTACTGGATAGTGTTCTACTATTAGATTCATTGGCAGTGATGCATGAGTTAAGATAACCCACATTTGTGGGCATCATTTGGATTCAATGAGGAGGAGAAACAAGTTAAAAAATCTTCATCTASGGTGCACCAAGCCAGGAATACAATGACATTAATTGAGTTGGCTGACATTAGAGAAGTTCACTTTGGGCCTCAGAAAAGCAAGTTAGGTGCTGTCACCATTGCATCACAAGGCTTTACTTGGGACTGGTTCCAAAGTGCTGCTTCACARCAGTGAAAGAAACCACAAAAA